AATAGAATTTTACCTTCTTGGGATGATTTGTTGACTAAGCCTTAGGCTTCAGAAGCAATCAAAGCACTAAGAAGTTATAAGATACCTCCACTTCTGCCTTAGGCTAAAGCATCTCTACCTTTCCCAGAGTAAGTTTAAAAAAAAATATGTTGTGCACCTATTTATGCCAGGCCTATGATAATCACTTACATGCATTATATCCTTTAGTTCTAACAAGAAACTTTTGAGGAAATAATTAAGATTATTTTTGAAGTGAGGGAAATGCAACTTTGTCAGGTTAAATAATTTGCCCAAATTCATAGACTTGGTCAAAAATGGAACTTGGACCTGTTTAACTCCAAAATACATGCTCTATCCAGTACTGTTATATTATTTACTCAAATGATCTTCTTCCCAACCATTTCAACATATCCCAAGAATGTCTTCATTTCAATAAATCATTTTTAATTTCTAAACTTATACTTCAATAGCAGTAATTTGAAGGTAGGGGTAAAGTGAGGCTCTTCCAGAATATGAAAACAACACAGTAAAACAAGCAAATTACCCAAATTTCATCAAGGTAAATTTCAACAGGGAAGCATGATAGCAATGTAACTTTAACTAAGGAAACTGTGGCCTAATCAAGACATAGCTCTCTGCCTAAAGAAATACATTAATGGGAAAAGGATAGTTTACAAAAAAATCTACAAAAGAAAATTCAAAGATCCAGATTCAAGCAGTGTCATCAACATCATGGCCTGAGAAGTGAAAGTGAATAGACATATCATCTGGTCACCATAGAAATATTCTCTGTTGTCAGGCACTGGTAGTATATCAAGTCTTTCCATAGACTAGTTGAATCATCTCTTAAAATTTCCATTTTCTGATTACTATTTCAGCTTTCCATATACCTCATCCTAGAAGGAGATACAGTAGATGATGGACCCGAGTACTCCAATCACTAAAAATGTCTCTCCTCCATAATAAATTAAACTGTCATTTGGTGCTCATGTCAGCTTGAAGTTTGGTTAGTCAAGTCAGTTCTCATACCCACATACAATGTGATCATTTCTGGGAAACAAATTCCAGTATCTGAACTGAAAAATTAAAGATCAGACATTGAAAAATAGTGATCACATTAATATACTACCCCCCACTTCCCTCCTGAACGGTCATCAAGATAATCACTCCATCTTCATTAACAATTTCCCCATTATCTCAGTGATGCCAGAAACCAGTTAACATCTGACTTTAAAGCTTTTATAGCCTTCATATAAAGTAAGCAATCTGCCTCAGGGTGAATATTTTTCTGAATCCCTATTTCTGGGACTATCTTGCTATCTCTATCAACCAAGTAGTCTCAAATGTGGGCAACTCCAGCGAAACCAAAATCAATAGAAAATATTTAACAAAAATATAAATTCGTTCAACCCACAATTCCTAAAAGCCAAAGACCAAGACAAGAGGTGAAATTACAATCGTAACACTTTCATTATTTGCCTATATAATTAGTAAGTTTATTGCTGTTTTCTAAAGATACTATTCTATGTTGGCAAGGCTGCAGTGATGTAGGTATTCTGAGACACAGCTGGAAGGAAGGAGTATAAATTTGAGCAGCCTTTCTGAAAAGCAATCTGGCAACAAATAGCAAACCTTTATGTTCATAACTCTTTAATCCAACATTTTTCTGGTTCCCTATCCCTAAGGACTCTAATTTTAAATAAAGAAAATTTTTATTCAGAAAGATGTTTATCACAATCAAAATATCCAGCAATAGAATAATAGTTTAAAAATTCATAAGCCAGAATATTAATCATTAAAAATGAAATCTATAATTTTAACATAAGAAAATGTTTACATGTTAACTTTAAAATACAAAAATATTATCTTAACCATACAAAAAATAGGTACAGAAAAAAAGAAGGAATACATCACTAGATGGTAGGATTTCAACCTTATTCTAAAAATTTTTGAACATTTTTCAATAGTTCTAAGTGATCTCTAAAATTAATGTGGAGGCTTTCAACCTTATTCTAAAAATTTTTGAACATTTTTCAATAGTTCTAAGTGATCTCTAAAATTAATGTTAATGACTGCACTGGATACTCACTAGATTGTCTGCCTGGTTTCTTTTCACCAAAGACTGCCCCTCACCCGAATCACTGCATTATAGTATCCTAGCCATTTGTACAATGTGACACATACCCACTTCAGGCCACAGCCAACTGTTCTGGTGAGAGCTATTAACATCAAACGGGCCATAAGTTCCTTTCCTAGAAATCTGAAATTGAACTGAAAGAAAGTAAATCTCTTGTAATCTGTATTTAAGTTTGAGAACTGTACAGGATCAGTATTTTCCACCTACCATGTGAAAGACAGAAGCAAAGGAAGACAGTCTGCAGGGGGGAAATGAATTAGATACAATACAGCACTGAGATACAGAAAAATTACCAATGATTTTCTAGACTCAGTATCTTCTCCAGGCTTCGTTACCATCCTGTTTTAAAATTTATGAGGCATCATGTTTCCTTATGATAAAGTCTTTTTTTAATTAAGATAGCTTGATTTTATTTGTTATAACCAAATAGTACCAATTAATATTTGTAGTATTTTGTAGCCTGTTCATGAAGTAAAAGAACTTCAATCTATTAAAGCTAGCCACTAAGGTCTGACCACGTCCATGCTATTCCCAAGACACTGTTTCAAACCTCAGAACTTGACAAGTCTAACAACTTGAGTTACAATAAATCATTGCATAGTTTATTCCTTTAAGGGGAAGCATGTCTAAACTGCAAAAAAACTAGGAAACGAAACATGTTATTATAAACATAACCTTTCATTTGAAAAAGAGTCAAGTCACTAAAAGTACTTTTAGGAAAAATGCTTTCTCTTCACATACAGCAATTTTTCCATAACGTGGATGAAGAAAATGCCAGGCAAGAGTGATTCCCAGAAGGTACTCTCACTGAATGACCTTCCAGTCCCTTAGAGAGAACTACCATTTACCAAATGTCCTAAGCATTATACTAGGCGCTTTACACAATTCACTTTAATCATTAAACTAATGACTTGCTATTCCCATGTTACAGATGTAAAAAACAGATTCAGAGGGTTAAAGGTTTGCTCAAAGGTACAGTTACTAAAACAAAAATGTCAAAATTCAAACTTCAAATCCATACTCTGTGCACTATGCTATAAAATTTCTCATAGCTACCATTTCTAGAACCCTTATCATAAGAGACAGAACAAATAGGGTAACAGCAAAACAAAACTAAAAACAGAAATAGCAACAAGGAACAGTATAGTCATAAAAAAGAATACTCTTTCTATTTATAGTGTATAAAGAGTTTAAAATCATATAACTGCTTTTATAATATTCAGAGAACAAAACTGAATATAAGCTTTCATATATAATACAATCTAGGTATGTCAGAAAAAAAAACTAAAAAGGCAACCTAAATGTCCCCCCAAAAGGGACTGTTTTCAGTAAATTATAGAAAATTACCACAAGCAAAAGTGGAAATAGACCATTATGTATTATGTGTGTGGGGGGGGAGGGGGGCGGGGGACATAAACTGGAAAACTGTATGTGTTTCTTATCACCCTGATACATAAAGAATGCCTATAAACCACTAAGAAAAAGATAGTCAAATGATTTTCTAAACTCAGTATATTCTCCAGGCTTGGTTACCAGCCTGTTTTAAAATTTATGAGGCACCATGTTTCCTTATGATAAAGTCTTTTTTTTATTAAGATAGCTTGATTTTATTTGTTATAACCAAATAGTACCAATTAATAATATTTGTAGTATTTTGTGGTCTGTTCATGAAGTAAAAGAACTTCAATCTATTAAAGCTAATATTAAAGAAAAATGCCTGTAAGATCTAAACACAGAAAAGGAAATACAAATGAGTCTCAACTATACACATAGTAACAAAAATGAAAATTACTACTGCACTGAGGTAATATTTTTCATCTCTCAGACTAACAAAGATCAAGAGGTCCTAATAACACTGTATTGGTATGGGTACGGGGAAGCTTGTACTCATACATTGCAATGAGTGTAAATTTATACAACCCCTATCAATAAGCAATTTGACAATAGCTAACAAAACTGTAAATGCATACATATTTTGACCCACCAATTATATCTACAAATTATTGTACAAATATCTCCCATGTGAATGAAACATCTTCTGTACAACAGAAATCACTGCAGTAGTAGTAAAATACTGGTAACAACCTAAATGTCCACCAACAGCAGCATTGGATAAAATAAAACTCATCTATACATGGTGTATTACACATCCAAAAAAGAGAGAAACGCTCATATGTACTGTTATGGAATGATCTCATAGAGATATTAAATGAAAGAAGCACGATACAGAATAATGTGTAGAGTATACCATGACCTGGGTAAAGGAAGGTGCTTATACTAGTACTACATAAAATCTCTTGAAAGGACACACTAGAAAACTAGTCATAAAGGTTGACTCCAGGGAGGAAACTGGTTGGCTGGGGATAGGGACAGAGGACAGATAGTTCATTTATATCTTTTTAAATTTTGAGCCATGTGAACACTGTTACCCATTCAAAAACTAAACTTTTTAAAACTAATGTAAATTTTAAAACACACAAAAAATAAATTATGGTACATTCATATTATAAAATGTTTTCCAGTATAGTTAATAAATAAAAAAAAGATCTAAGGTAAACTATTAAGTGGGGAAAAGGAACAAAGCTTATACAAAAAAGTTTACATTTTGTTGAAAAAGTAAACAGAAAAAAATGTTTTCATATGCACAGAAATATGCCTCTCTAGGTGCTGGGATTATGGGTAACTTTTTCTTCTTTATACTCTTTTGTCCTTTCCGAATTTTCTATAATGGGCATGTGTTTCATTAAAAATAAAGGGGGGGGGGAGAAAAAAATAAAGGGGGAAAAACACAAAAAGCATAGCTAAAATCTTTATTTAAATCTGTGAATAAATCATCCTTAATCACAGTATCAATGAACCTTACCTGACCATGACTGATTGCTGGTTCTTCCTTCAACAAAAGTTTCTCTTTCAAGCTTTTAATTGGACTTTCTTGGAAATCCTTGGTTTCTGAGTGCCAGACAGATGCCCTAGACTCTTGCCTCTCCTCCTCTTTGTCTTCATCTGCCGTATCTTCTGAGATGCCTTCATTTTTTTCACTAGCCTGATTTCCTTGGCCACATTCATTCTGGATCAGAGAAGGAGGTCTAGGTAACACTGGTTCCCCAAATCCTTTTTTTTTAAAGAGCTGCCTCTGAGCCATTTTCAGGCTCTTTTGATAAACCTCCAACTGGCAGAGAATGACCTTGGTATACTGGTTAGGGTCTATTCCAGCTGGGCAAAATGGAATACCCCAGAAGTAGTGCACAGTGCCCCCACTGTTCTGGATACCTTTGGCATCTGCTGAGGCAGGAAGAAAGTGCCTAGATGTGTCCCCCCTACCCTGGGCAGCTTCGTGAAAATCACATCCTCTCCCAGTACTTTCCTGTGGCTTCCCACACTGTGTGTGCTCAGCCAAGTGGCCAGTGCATCTGTCAAAACATTTAACGTTCTCATTCTCAACCACTGGCTGGCTTGACTGGTCCCAGCTTCCTGAGCTGCCAGAGACCGGCTCCTCTTCAGTGTTTTCAGTGTGGTCCCAAGGCTCCTCTCTTTTCTCAGCCTCGTTTCCCTGACTGATATGTGAGCCTTTAAACAGTGATGGAGGTACCAGCTGCCATATGCCTGTAGGTATTTGAGAAAAAGTAGGGCTAAGGACAAACTTTTTTATTAAGAGGGCTTGGTAAGTTCTCACTTACCAAGAACTACATAATGTGGGTAAAAAGGCTCTTCTTTGGGTTTAACCAACTGTTGGCTTTTCCTTGGAGATAAAGTATGCTGGATATTAGTGATATCTCAACTACTTTCTGATTTAACCTCTTTAATACCACCAAAGAAATTTAGGGAATTTCTGTATATCTACTGTCAGTATGAGATCCCTGTGATATGGTTATATTTGATGAGTGCAAGGAGTCAGAACAGGGAGACATGCCTTCAGTGGTCCCAGAGTCTGTGGTTTTCTCTTGGTGGGACTGTGAAGATGGTCCAATGGCCAGAGCTCGAGATCTGGTAGCAGAAGCATCAGAAGGCCGGCAACTCTGAAATAAGTAATCCCAAACAAAATCAGGTTTATTATTAAAATAGCTACACATGAAGGGTCACAGGAACGACAAAAAGGGGAGGCCACTGTCCCTAAGAGATTCTCCTCTTTAAAATGTAGATGCACAATTCAAACGAATTCCACAATGCATACTGAATGCTTACTATGTGCAAATAACTATCCTAGGTTCTATACTAAACCCTTTTCTAATATAGAGAAGTAGATGGCATAAATGGCTCAGGACCTGTCACTGCTAACTATCCTTCATATTTAAAATAATTTCAATTACACTTATTCAAATCACAATTTAACATTATTTGAAACATTTTAAAACTGCCCATTCTTTCTCTCTGTAACCCACCTCTAGCTCTCATTCTCTTTGTTCTCTCTACAAAATAGGGGAGGTAAGTGCTTTATCTTGCCCCTTTTGGATTCTTGTTAATAGGTCATTCTTTTCAGAAGCTGCCAATTACTATGGTTCTCTTAAGCCATGGACTGAAAATCTGTGAGATGGAAGAAAGCTCTTTCATACAGAATTAGCAAAACACTTCAAATTAGGTTTATCAACAATTCAACATGGGCTTTAAAAATTGTGGGACTATTTATTAGTTGAAAATCCTATGAACTACTACAGCATTAGTTTCTAATGCAACCATAACACTGTAAAAGAAAAAGAATTTTACTTATCAATCCTCACAAACTTTTTCAGCATAGCATGCTTACATTTAGGCTTTCTGCAATGGCTTTCCTCAAGAGCTCCTCTTCTTCCTCCTCCTGGCTGTTCACTTCTCTAGCTTCCTGCTCACTCATTTTGAGAGCTAGAGCAAACTGTTCTTCTTCTGTCATTTCTGTAGAAGGGCAGGGAAAGAGAGGGGAGGGATACCACAAACAATGAATAAGCATGGAGGCAAGGAATAGAATTATTAAACTTTTTAAGTGAAGATACTACAGACCATGTAATACAATTTTATAATCTTATAAATGAGGAAAGTCCCAAAAAATAAGGTATTGGCCAAGATCGGCAGCAGAAGTTACAAGAATCCTGGATTAACTAGAGTTACTAGACTGTGAGCTCCTATGAAAGCAGTTTGTGCCTATTTTGTTCACTATTGTATCTCCAGCATACAGGGGTACGCGAAAGTAGGTTTACAGTTGTGAGTACGTGAAACAGTTTATTCTTGTATTATTTCTTATTTACTAATTACTGTATTATTTATTATCATTAATCTACTTTTGTCCACCTCTATATAAAAAAGAATACCTAGCAACTGGTAGATACTCAAATATTTGGTGAATGAATAAACAGGAACAGGCTTTCAGGGCTTTTTGCTACATACCAATCACACTGCTTTATGCTCGACATTTAACCAGAATAATTTACTCAATCAGAATCCTCTTGATGGGACCATTTACCCAGTAGAAAAGACCTTCCCTAGTGACCAGAATGTGATCTCCAAACATCATTTCCTATTAAAAGCAACTGGCATACCTAGGAGAAATGACTGATTCAAAGTCTGTAATAGAAATGTAGAAGATGAGCTAGAGTACCTGTCATATCTGTGAGCAGGGAAGCTATAAGACATTACCAGAGTCATATCAAAAAAATTTAAGAGCCAAAGTAAAAAGGTTCTCCCTGGCCAAAACTAGAACTAGACTATCGATAAAAATAATGAATTAAAACATATTAAATGTGTTTGAAACCCAGAGTTCATAATGATACTTTAAAAAAAAACACAGCCAACTGGTCATTGTTAAAGAATGTTAGTGAATCAATTATTTTTGCAACTGGTAAAGCATAAATAATGTCACTGTCGGGCGCATACAGTGGTGGTATGGTTTGCTATTAAAGTTCAGGAGAGCCCATCCGGTGTGGCTCAGTGGTTGAGCATCAATCTATGAACCAGGAGGTCAAGGTTTGAGTCCCAGTGAGGGCACATGCCTGGGGTGCAGACTTGGTCCCCAGTCGGGGGCGTGCAGGAGGCAGCCAATCAATGATTCTCTCTCATCACTGATATTTCTCTTTCTCTCCCTTTCTCTCTGAAATCAATAAAAATATATTTAAAATAATAATCATATTCAAATTATGTGTTATTATATATTATTTAAAGAAACACAAAACTTCAATTTCAATTATCAAACTCAATCATTTGATGTATATTTTACTGACAACACAGAGCCACATAACTTGACAAAGCCACCATTAAAAATTTTCTTTAACCACTCAGAATTAAATCAGAATTAAAAGGACACTCTCATTCACTAGTTACTTTCTCTTATTTTCACATATCAACATGTTCTGAGACTAAAGGTCAATTAACACTGCTGTTGACTAAAACATTTTACCTTACCTCTCTACTAGATAAAAACTCAACCAGAAGAAAAAGTAGAAAAAAATTAGAATCACACCTGGGAGCATGATCCCTTAAGGAAAATGTCAGCAAGTTTCAACCTTATCAGCATTAAATATTACCTTATCAAATGATTCTGCTAAGCTAAACAAGAGAAGTACAAAATTTGTGTGAAGCTGATTATGCTGGTTATAATTTACAATAATTTACATCTCCCAACATTCAGGTTAACCTCCCACTGAGACATGCAACAGACAGTTAATAATCCAGAACATAAAACTAGATAGTATATATCAAGAAAACTTGTATAATTTGTGAGTACTTAAAATGGCTAAAAGAGAACATTTCATATAACAATGGAAAAAATAAAGACTGTCTCCTTTTTTTGGTACAACACTATGACTTATAATTTCTAATCAATTCTAAAAACAAAAACATACGTGCAATTTTTCTTTTAGCCAAACACTTTGCTCTATTCAACTGTTTTGTCTTCATCTTCTCTAATCCATTTTCCTCCTGTGGTTCCTGTTTCAAAACAAAGAAATATGATCAGGATAGCTACCATTAAAAGTAATACTCTTTCCATCTCTTCTACAGCCAGGAGGCTGCTGAGGCTCTGAAGAATCAGCAGTTGTAAACATTCACAGAAAACATCAGTAAAAGATCCTCTACAGTACTGCCCTGGCCAGGTGGCTCAGTTGGTTGGAGCGTTGTCTCACACACAAAAAGGTTTCAGGTTTGATTCCTGGTCAGGACGCGTACCTAGGTTTCGGGTTCAATCCCTGGGTGAGGTGCATTCAGGAGGCAACCAATCAAAGTTTCTCTTTCATATCAATGTTTTTCTCTCCCTTCCTCTCTCTCTAAAATCAGTTAAAAAAAAAAAAAAAAAAAAAAAAAAAAGATCCTTTACAGTACCAAAAAAAATGTAGATCTAGAACCAATAAATATCACAAAAATAAAAAATATTTAACATACTGACATTATCTGTCATACACATGCTCATGTAAAAAGTGGACTATCTGCAAAATAGTAGTAAGCATGCTACCCAAGTTCAGAAAAGGCTTGGAAGTTTAAAAATCACCCTGGCTGGTATTGCTCAATGGCTAGAGCATCGGCCCACGCACCAATAGGTTGTGGGTTCAATTCCCAACCAAGGTCACATAGCTGGGTTGCAGGTTCAATCCCCGATTATGACTATGCAAAAGACAACCAATCCATATGTTTCTCTCACATCAATGTTTCTCTCTCTCTCTGCCCCTCCCTCCCTCTCTCTTTAAAAATCAATAGAAAGAATATCCTTGGATGAGGATTAACAACAAAAAAAAAAGTTTAAAAAATAATGTTTTAACTCAGTGCAAATTTTTTTAATCAGTACGTCAAAAAGCAAGAGAACAACTTGGAGAAAGTATGCAACACATTTGTCAGACAAAGGGCTAATTTTCCTTTTATAGTCATACATTGCATAATCATTTCACTCAACAACATACTGCATATATTACAGTGGTCTCATAAGATTATAATGGAGCTGAAAAATTCCTATCACTGAGTGACATCATAGTCAATGCAACATCATACACAACATATTACATGTTTTGATGATGCTGGTGTAAACAAATCTACACTGCTGCCAGTCATATAAAAGCATAGTACATACTACCTTCCATCTACATATATAAAAGGCTAAGTTGCCAACCGTACGTCCATCTGACCTGTACATATGATGCGCACTGGCAATTTAAAAATAAACATTAACTCGCATATGCACGATACATATAAAGCTTTCGCTGGCGCATTTAAAAGGCTAAGTGACCAACCTGACACTTCTATTATAGAGAAAGGGTGAATAGTGATACTAAAATATTTCTTCTAATTAATTTCTTTTCAATGTGCATGAATCCATGCACCGGGCCACTAGTTGTATATAGTACATAATACTTGATAATGGTAATAAACGACTCTGTTACTGGTTTATGTATTTACTATGATTTTTGTTGTTATTTTAGAGTATATTCCTTCTACTTACCAAAAAAGTTTGCTGTAAAACAGTATGCCATGTTACACCAGCAGTAACCTCATACATCTTGTGCTTACCATATATCTTGATTGCATCATTTTCTCTTGTTCTTGATTAATCTTGTGCTGTTTTATATAGTAACATGCTGTACAAGTTTGTAGCCCACGAACAATAGGCTATACCAGTGGTCGGCAAACTCATTAGTCAACAGAGCCAAATATCAACAGTACAACGATTGAAATTTCTTTTGAGAGCCAAATTTTTTAAACTTAAACTATATAGGTAGGTACATTGTTATTAACTTAATTAGGGTACTCCTAAGGCTTAGGAAGAGCCACACTCAAGGGGCCAAAGAGCCACATGTGGCTCACGAGCCGCAGTTTGCCAACCACAGGGCTATACCATATAGCCTAAGGTGTGTAAGATTAGGTTTGTGTAAATCTAGGTTTGTGTAAGTACACTCTATGATATTCACAGAATGAGATCTCCTACAATGTGTTTCTCAGAATGTGATGTTAAGTGGTGCATGACTATATATAAAGACCTCTTACAAATCAATTAACAAAACAATATTTAGCCTCTTCCCATAGGAAAAGACATGTTAAGACACTTCCTGGAAAAACATACACAAGGGACTCATCCTATATAATAAAGAGTAATATGCAAATTGACCGTCACTCCAACACACACGATGGCCACCCCCATGTGGTCAAAGATGGCCATCCCCATGTGGACACAAAATGGCCAGCAGGAGAGGGCAGTTGTGGGCAATCAGGCCAGCAGGGGAGGGAAGTTGGGGGCGATCAGGCCTGCAGGGGAGGGCAGTTGGGGGCAGCTGGGCTGGCAGGGGAGCAGTTAGGCATCAATCAGGCTGGCAGGGGAGTGGTTAGGGGGTAATCAGGCTGGCAGGGGAGTGGTTAGGGGGTGATCAGGCTGGCAGGCAGAAGAGGTTAGGGGCAACCAGGCAGGCAGGCAGGTGAGTGGTTGGGAGCAAACAGTCCTGGAATGTGAGTTAGGCCCACCAGGATCGGGCCTAAACGGGCAGTCGGACATCCCTCTAGGGGTCCCAGATTGGAGAGGGTGCAGGCTGGGCTGAGGGACACACACACACCCCCTGCATGAATTTCATGCACTGGGCCTCTAGTAAGTATATGAGAAGATGCTCAATTTCACTTTGGAAATGCAAATCAAAACAATTATATAGATACTATATTTCTTTTACCAATACTAGGTGAAAATTAAAATGTTTATAGAACTCTTACTGTGGGGATACAGGTACTCTCATACCACTGATGGGATATAATGGATGCAATATTCTAGTTTAGAGAACAAATTTGAAATAACCTCTAAAATCATAAATATACAACACACTCTTTGTACAGCAATATACTTCTGGAATTTATTCTACAGATATTTAACCTCTTTGTGAATAATTATGTTCACAGTGGAAAGTTTTGTCATTGTAAAAGACTGTAAACAACCTCAATCAATGCTACTCAAAGTATGATCTCTAGGTGAAAATTAGCACACTGATTGTTGCTAGTCTGCAACAAAATAAGCACAGAAATTGAGAATAAGCATTTAGAAACTTTTACAGCAATCTGACATTGCTACAACATCCATGCAGGATAAGAGAATTTACACAGTGAAAGCTGCAGACTAGTCATTTGCAAAAACACCAAGTTATAATAATATGTGCTGTTTTAAAGTTAGTTATTTATTAAAATTCAAAGTCTATAAATATCTGAGAAAAAATAGATTTATTTATAATTTATATTAACTATATTTTCAATCAGGCCCATTTTTAAAGTTATACTTTAATACTACTAGCTAAACAAAAAAAGAAAACTTTATATTATTTATTTTAAATCCTAATTTATAGATTTCAAACAAGCTTCACTGGACTTTTGTCATCAAGAAAAAAACAAATCTTTCTGAAATAGCAGTAGCAGTAAAAAAATAATAATAATAATGATCCAAGTAATTGTGAAGACATAAAGGGCAAAAGTTTACTTCTAGTTTTACTCAGAAGTATAATCCTTCATATGTTGAGTTCAGTTTTGAACCCACAATTGATGGTGTACATAACAATCAGAGTATCTTATTTCTAAATACATACTAACTAAAAAACTATGAAAACTTAAACATTTATATAGAAAACAAAGTTGAAAATAAATTTTAAAATCTGAGTATTAAATTAATAAGCTCACACAGATGCTTAATACTTCATATATACACATTAGTACTTTATGGATTTCTTATAAATACTATATTTACTAAGACAAAAAAACTATATAGAAAGAAATTAGTTAAAGATGGCAAAGTTGTCTATTTGGAAATAATGGGTGAGTCTGAGGCAAAGAAGGTAGCTCAAGTACCATATTCCAATGGCAACATAGCTTAATATATTCAGAAGGCAGATCATGATATGGAAGACCAATTAATAAATAAAGCTAGCAACATATTTTCATTGCAACCCCATGAGTGCACAGATATTGGCAACTCAGCAGTACTTTTAGGAAATGTGTGATGAGCTTGATGATAGAAAAATTCTTTCAGCTTTATTTTTGACAAACATTAAGTTCTGAACGTTTAAAACCATAAAGGGTTAAACTTTTACTTTTTTATGAAGCCAGGAGTAACAACAGGAAAATTTCCGAGATTAAGGAACTTGTGCCAGAATGTTAATCAACATTCCATTACTGAAAAATACCAGCCAAACTACTGTGCATAGTAGAAATTATAAATTACATAAAGACTAAGGCTAATGCACTCAATTCAATAATATTTTCTTCATTGTGTGATATGTAAATGGATCATAAACAACTGTTATTACTTGCTGAGATATGATATAAGATTAAAGGGAAAAATTCTGTGGAGAATTCTGAACTACAAAATGAATGCTCACTGTTTCTGCAACTTTTTAACCTACAAAAAGTGAACAATTTCAAGTATTACCACATTAACTTTAGATTAAAATCTTTAATGTTAATATCTATAAAAGAATCTGCTAAGATATAGGACATATTCATTGAATAAGCTCTCTTTTTATACAAAAAACATTGCAGCAGTGCCTAAGTAAAGGACTGGAGAAAAATGCTTCTGGGTATAGTACAGCTGATTTTAATTTGAAGTGCACATACCCGAATTTAGTTAACATTATTAAAAGGGTAAAGAGATACTAAAAGCAAAACAAATGCTGTAAGATTCAAGAAACTATTCTCTAAAAGAGGGTGAGGGGGGCAAGAAGGGGTTGTAAGTACAGGAGTGCATCTTCCTACTTCCAGGAAACCAAAGACTTTTATCCGACTGAAACACTTCAAAGTGACAACTGAGAATCTTGAAAATGGGGAATTGAAGATTGAAAAAAACAAGAATAAACAAATCCAATTCATCAACTGGTCCCACAGACTGTTTTGGCACTGACAAAATCCAACTGGTTACTGACCCTTGTGGGCATCTTCTTTCAGGCAGTCAGGTAGATGCTCCAACTAGTATCAAAGAAGTGATT